AGAACTCCAGGAAATGGGGAATTTGTTCTGTATGGGAGAAATGATAAAAGAAGTCATAGAGAGGTTGATGTTTGAGTGGGTTCTTTCTAGGTAGAGAAGGAAGTGAACAGCATTCCAGAAAACAAACATGGAAATAAACAAACACATGGCATGCATAAGAAGCTGTCATTCATTAAAGAGCCAACAGTCCGTAAGAGGCAGAGATACCTACTGCCAGGCACAAACGTATTGTGGCATCCAGACCTATGTCTCTAAGATCCCATTGTTGAATTGTGGAGGAAAAAACATAGACATTTGAAAAGTCTGTCAACATTCTGATGTTAAATGTTGTATGAAAAATGATTAGTAATAACATAAAGACTGGGAGAAGAGAGGATGTCTTTAGGCTAGGAGACTTTACAGAGGAAAGTGATGACTATTATTCCAGGCACTCTTCTAAAACTTTAATGTGTCATTTTACTTAAGCCCATGGAAAATTCCATAAAGAAAGCATTTTTATTCCCACCTTGTGGGTGTTGAAACTGAGATCTGGAGAGATTAAGTTACTCATGGGTAAATCTCAATTCAATGGAAGACCTGATTCGACCCCAGATTTGTCTTCCCACCACTATCTGAACCTTTGGCAGGCCGGTTGCATACACTTCGGGATGGCTCTTAGATAGCTCATGAATGTATATTTCAGCACCAAATTGTATACTTCCCATAGACTAGGCCATTTAATCAGATTCTGGTATTAATATCATGATCTACACATGAGGATGCTCATTACATAGACCTGGACAACTCAGTTCTGAGCCCCTGAGCACTGAAAGGGCACACAGTGACTTCATGCATCTGTCTGTGTGGTTTTCTTTAGATGGATGGGGAAGACACCATGGAACCAGGGAATCTCATGTGGGTATCAGATTTTGTCTTCCTGGGGCTCTCACAGTCTCAGCAGCTCCAGATTTTCTTGTTTTTGGTGTTCCTGTTTGTCTACATCACCACTGTGGTGGGAAACCTCTTCATCATAGTCACAGTGACTTCTGATTCGCGGCTCCACACACCCATGTATTTTCTGCTTCGAAACCTGGCTGTCATAGACCTCTGTTGTTCCACAGTCACCTCCCCAAAGATGCTGGTGGACTTCTTTCATGAGACCAAGACCATCTCCTACAGGGGCTGCATGGCCCAGATCTTCTTCTTCCACCTCTTTGGAGGTGGGACTGTCTTCTTCCTCTCAGTGATGGCCTATGACCGCTTCGTTGCCATTTCCCGGCCCCTCCACTATGTCACCATTATGAACACTCAGCTCTGTGTGGGGCTGGTGGTGTCCGCCTGGGTGGGGGGCTTTATCCACTCCATTGTCCAGCTGGCTCTGATGCTCCCGCTGCCTTTCTGTGGCCCCAACATCCTGGATAATTTCTACTGCGACATTCCCCAAGTATTGCGACTTGCCTGCACTGACACCTCCCTCCTGGAGTTGCTCATGATCTCCAACAGTGGGATGCTGGTTCTCATCTGGTTCCTCCTCCTCCTGGTCTCCTACTCAGTCATCCTGGCAATGCTGAGGTCCCACTCAGGGCAGGCAAGGAGGAAGGCAGCTTCCACTTGCACCACCCACATCATCGTGGTGTCTATGATCTTCATTCCAAGCATTTACCTCTACGCCCGGCCCTTCACTCCATTCCCCATGGACAAGGCTGTGTCCATCAGCCACACGGTCATGACCCCCATGCTCAACCCCGTGATCTACACCCTGAGGAACCAGGAGATGCAGGCAGCCGTGAAGAGACTAGGGAGGCGCCGGCTGGTTTGGAAAGTAGAGTGACAGTGGTAGGTCGCCTTTCTTTGGTTTTGCTTTTCCTTCCTAAAGTGGAGAGGGAGCTGTGACATCTGCTTTCTTCACAGCTTGTGGATGTGTTGTGAGGGGGGTGGAAGAGGTGAATGAGTTTTGAAACCAAGCAACTTCGTGTTTTTGGAAAGAGGAGTGTCCTCTTTGGTGGTTAAGGTTTGTGATAAAGAGTTCTAACGCACCTGCCACAATGAGAAGTGTTCACATGGCCCCTGGAAAACCACACCCGCCCCTCCCCTTCCTGGTAGACAGTTTCCCCTTATGATGAGAGCATTTCCCCAGTAAGAGCATTTCAATTTTCTGTATTCTGACTCTCTTCTCAGCATCCCCTTTTAGTTTGAGTCCTGAGTATTGGAGAGAGCACAGGTATGTGGCCTTTGTCCTAAATCGGGAGCTGTGACCTTACCAAACTGGTGACCTTGGATTAGCCGCCTAAACTCTCTTGATATTACAGCTTCCTTCTCACTAAAATAGCCTAAAACAGTATCTGTCCCAATAATCTCATAGGTTTTCTATAAGATTCAAATAAGAAAAGGTGAGACAACGTTTTGTAAACCATAGAACCTGGGTATGAATTATTGTTACTGTTATGTCTGACATTTACTCTTCCATCAGTTGGCTCCTGTTTTGGAAGTAGGGCAGAAATTCCTACGTGAGGAGGCACAGAGAGCGTGGGGGCTGAACTCCTGAGGGCTGTGCCACCTGCCCAGGGTGACACAGATAACATAGAGTGAGTAGAAATTCAGGGCCATGTCTGGAAGCATCTGACTGCTTACTGCTATCCCTCACTCACCCCCATTTTCCGACTTAACACTTCTTGCAAGTAGGAATCAGAAGATCCACCCATTTGTTCATTCGTTTATTCTTTCATTCACATTTGTCAATTTGCATTTGAGGCCTAACATGGAACTTTATCCATAGAATGTGCCCTGTAATGGTTTGTTGACTCTTTCTTTACTAATCTCTTTCAATCTCTTTCTATCTTCCCACTCCTCCTTCCTGGCCTCCCTCCCTCCCCATGTTGCTTTCTCTCGGTACAGTTTTTACATTCATCTGGGCCTTTTTTTTTTTTTCCAACTCACAGGTGTGCTCTGCTTCCTTTCTGCCTGGATCTCTTGGCCACACACCCATCATGTCTTTCCCCCACTATCAAACTGGGGCTGGGGTCAGGTTATCAGGCAGCGTTGAAGAGAAGGAACAGGCTATGACTGAAGTTGCAAGAGGCTGCAGCCCAAACAAGCTTAAATAAAAAGAGGTTGATTTCAGGGATCTAAAGGTCTCCTGAAAATAAGGTGGATTCAGGGGTTGTGGGAATGAGAAGCTGTCAGGGCTGGCGTAACTGGTCCTTCCTGCCAATGCAGTCATCTCCCCAGTGGGAGCCCAAGTCCTATAACTTGACCCTCCCGTTCTGCACTGCACAGCTGACCAGCTCAGTCTTCAGGGTGTGAATTCTGAAGTCCTGTGAGAATAGTCTGACTAGCTGAGGTTGGGTCCTGTGTCCCACGGGGATGAAAGACATGCAGGTCACATGACATAAACGTGACCGTCCAGACCCACCCTTTCAGCAGGAATTGTGGATGAGAGCTATTTCCCAGAAGGAGGGTGTGTGGACAGACTCCCCCAACCATGTCTACAATGAAAGGAACAAGAAGAGCACCCCTTTAATGGCACCATTCAACGGGCTTGTCTTTAGTTATATCTGACATTCATGTTTCTATTCATTCATTAAACAAGTATTTATTGAGCACCTAGTTTCTTCTTTCTGTCCTATTTTGTCCTCTTTACCCGTAGGTTCTTAGGGAAAGTTCCTGACTTTGTCTTGGCAGATCAGCCAAGAGTTGGAGGGGGGAGGCTCCTGGCTCCATCTCTTCTTGGATAATGCCATGCCCCACTCTGGATTCAAGTCTACAAAGTCTGATTCTGTTTAGAACCACTGCCACTGCCCAGATAGACGCAAAGAAAGCTAAGACCCATCCTTGTCCAGAGCCCAGCATGGGTGACAGACCCAGGACAGCCTGCTCTGGGAACCACACGTGGCATTAAGAAGTGGCACATTCATGGCTGGCCAACGTGCCCTCCAGGGACAGTGAGGAGGAGTAGAGAGAGCATTGCTCTTCCCCTGACACCTACAAGAGGACGACATTCTGGGGACAGGAGGAGTGGAAACAGAGAGCAGCCCTCATCTAGCACAAAGGGCCCCAGCTCGTGGGCTTCCTGCCCTTGACACTGGGCACTGGCTGCAGCCACCTCCACTGCTGCCACAGGGCTGAGGCCACCAAGATCGCCACCCCAGTGCTCACCACCACAGCCAGCCAGAGACACTGGGGAGGCTGTGGCTGGGGGACGTTTTGCATTTTTGAGCCTTTTTAGTGCTCCAGGCAAGAGATTGTTTCATTCAACAGTGTGTCTCAATTTCTATAACCTTCAGGAATTCATTCTTTCTAGGTGTACTGAGATGCCAGGATGCAAAATGGATCAGCACAGGCCCTTTCTTGTGCCTCCCCCTCCTGAGTGGCTTCTATCCCCGGAGCTGGGGCAGCCAGCGCACAGGAGCGTTACCTGGAAGGGGTCCAGGGAAGCTGCAGAGCCAGTGCCACTGGTGCAGCAGCACGGCCCGACAGACTCCCCTCAAGTACCGCACCCGTGCAGGGGACACCAGGCCCACCTCTGCCTGCTCAGGCCCGAGGCAGATTCCCAGCCTATGGGACCAGGTTCTCTCTGCCCAGGTCACATCTGTGCCCTTGGGAGCTTGGTTTATAAAGTTAGTCCCAGATTGAGACCCCCTTCCTGGTTCCAAGACCGTGACACGTCATTTTCTCTCTGCCTCAACAATAAAAAAGAAGTCCCACTCGGCAGCACCTGCCCTCATAAGGTTGTCACAAGGATGCGGCGAGTGCAGTGAAGCACAGACACCGGGCTGGCACGCGGCAAGGGGCAGGGTGAGAAATCGCCCTGGCCAGGAGGCCCTTCCTGCTGGGTCTCAGCACCGCAGGGCTCCAATTACCCTACAAGTGGCAGTGCCCCAAGGTCACGTGCCCCACTGAGCCTTCTGACTAGTTATGTTGTTGATTCCAGGCAGTGTTTGCATTGTCTGCAAGCGCACAGTCTCCCTTTCCTGCCTCTGGTCCCTGCCCCTGGGAGCTCCCAGTCTGATGGAGGAGGCGAGGAACAAGCTCTTACATGAGGCCGAGGCAGGACAGAGGAGGGAGGGGATGGGTGCTTGGCCTCGGCTGACCCTCTGGCCTGGATCTGTGCACCTCTCAAGTGCTCGCTAGAGAGCCCCCTTGCCTCCAGAACCTTCTTGCGTTTTGGTGACTTCACTAGCAGATCAGAGAGGTTCAACCTTGGTTAAGATCAGACAGTCAGGGGTGGTGCCAGACTCCCAAGCCAGCTCTCCAAGGCCCCTAGCTCAGTTTTCTCCAGCCTTGCTAAAGGCAGAGGACTCAGAGCTGCCTCTCCCACAAGGAGAGTCCTCAGCCCTGGAGCACTCACATACACATGTGTACATATACACACGCACACGCGTGCACAAACTCCTGGCCCACCCTGGCCTCTGGCACGGTGTGGAGCCGCTGCAGTTTGAGGCAACCCTCTTCTTCCCGCACACCTCAGTGTTTCGTCATGAGACTCAGGCAAGGATCTCTTTCCCAGGAACCCCAGGGAGCAGAAGCAGGCCCGCCACGCCCTGAGCCCTGCTCTGCCCCTGCTGGCTCGAGGGGGCCGTTGGCGCTGAGCAGATAAAGAGATCTAATCAGGCCTGTGGCTGGCAGCTCCATTGTGGTTGATGGACGGTTCTTGTGAAAGTGGTTGCGGAAGCTTGAGGTTCTGAGCTGGCCAGGGGAGGTTGGGAGGAAAGGTTCTTGGGTATTGCAGCTGAAAGATGCCCGGGAGGGAAGCCTCCCTCGTGGTCCAGGGTCTGGACATCAGCCTGGCAGGGCCGGGTCTGCCACAGCATCCGCTGACCTGGCTGGGCTGGCCTGGCCCAAGGAGAACAATGTCTCTGACAAAAGGCACTGGGCCCGACAGATATACAGGTACAAATCCGTTGCCTGACTTCAGAGCCATGACAGCCAAGATCATGGCAAATGCTTCCATTCCACAAATATGTATTAAGCCCCTACCCAGCAGCGTGTTAGGTATCAAGGCTACAGTGGGCAACAAAACAGGCACATGCCTTTTTCTGTATGGCACTCACAGACCTGCAGGGACCGGAGCTTAATCAAATCCAACCATAGAAACACATGTGTAATTGTATGATGTTAAGTTCCAGGAGAGGAGCTACAAGAGTGAGGAATAGGAAGACCCAGTCGACCGAGTCCTGGTCCGTGGAGGGGGGACGGGAGAGGTCCCCTGTGGCTGAGACCTGGAAGACCAGCAGGAGTCGGCCAGGCACAAGAGGGAAGAGCCTTCACCATTGAGACCCAAAGCAGGAAGGGGATAGGCCCGTTTCGGGAGCTGAAGGCCAGTGGGTTTTGAGGGCAGAGGAACAGAGAGAGGGGAGATGGGGTGCTGGAGCAGGGAGGTGCCGGGGCCAGATGGTGCCAGCCCCGCTGGGGAACGCTGCATGGAGGGACAAGATGAGTCAGCAAAGGGGATAGGATGCTCATGGGACCAGTGACGCCAAGTCCTCCACAGCCTGACTCTCACAGCCACCAAGAAAGGAGGGGGAGCAGCTGAAGATGCTCTCACCCTCTCTGGCCCCCTCATTCCCAGTCTCCAGGCAGCCTTGTCTCCTCCTGTCACCCCAACAGTGGTCTTCTTGATGGGTCTCATTACCAATCTTTCCTCCTGCATGGCTCAGTCTCAGATTTGTATTTCACCCATCTCCCTTTCAAAGGGAGAGCTCTCCCACACCACCCCCAGCCTCTGAGGTCCAGACAGGCCCCGGGAACCCCGGCAGCGGGCTCTGGACTCCCAGCCCTGTGGGGTGTCCCAACCCACATTCCAGCACGCGGCCTCCACGCTCAGTGGACTGCCCATCCTCACGTCCCTGGGGCAGTGCTCCTCCAACCACCTGCAGCTCAGGCTCCTGCTCTCCGAGCCTTGCACGGGGGATGGCCCGGGACCCACCTATCGCCTGTGCCAAGGCTCTTCCCCCTCTACATCACCTCCAAGGCCCCCCAACCCCTGCCCCACCCCACTCATCAGCTTGTTGGGGTCGAGACCCTGGGAGTAGCTGAACTGCCATCGGGAGAGGGCAGAGGATTGGGGATTTGGGCAGGGGAGGAGGCATGGCTTCCTTTCCTGGGTGGAAAAGGGTGTGTGGACTCACGGAGTTAAGCTGGGACCTGGTTCGCTGGTGTCCCACAAACGCTCCTAAGCGCCGGGCCTGGCCCAGTCCTGTGCTGGGTGCTGGGTCCACAGCCGTGAAGATCAGGCCTTGGTGCAGTGCGTGTGTCCCTGCACTGCAGCGCCGCGTGTCCCTGCATGCAAACAGCTGCTTTCACATAAACGATGACAGTGCAGTGATCGCAAAGCTGAAGATTTCCTTGATTTCCTTCAATTCTGTCACTCTAGAGGAACTTTGAATTTGTGTTTAACATGTAAACCAGTGAAAACATGCAAACTGAGAAGTATAATATTTTTGTGCAAGTGCAAATTTTACTTTATACATCAAATATTTTACTAAATTTGAATAATATCTTTAAGATAGAATTTATTCTTTCTAAATTTGTAATTATTGATTTTAAAATGAAGGAATGAATCAAGAAAACAGAAACCATAATGATATATTAAATACTCAAGCTACCAATATGTAGGTAGTTTTTCCCCAGTTAAAACATACTCATATGTTTTGGATTAAAAAGTATTAATCCATTATTCCTTTACTTTTTATATTGTAATATTTCATTTTTATTGCTTTTTTTTTACTGGCATGATTATATATACAAAGTTCAAGAAATGAAATCTTTCACACATTTCTTTTCTCGCCGTTATTATTGTTTCATTTAATGAGTATTACTAAAAATGATTTCATTGTGTAAAGGAGAGGGTATCAAAAAGTAACCTCCTCCCAGTGTGAGACACTGCAGGTCGCCACTGGGCAACACTTAACCCCAGGGACCCTCGAGGTCCCAGTGGGCATGCTGAAAAGCCCACGGGAGAGTAGGGGGTTTGGGGGGCCACACCCCTCTTCTTGTCCCTGAATATGGTTAGCCCCGGACACAGGAGAAAGCGGACGTCAAAGCAGAGCGTTGTGGGGCATGGCAGGTGCCCTGCATGTCACCTGCCCCCTAAAGCAGGCCACAGCTGGGGTGGAGGGTGGAGCCCAGTCCTCCAGGGGCTGTCACTCACTCCATCGCCAACTGTCCTTTCACTCAGGCTCCAGTGGTCCCTGCCCAGCAGCTGGCACGCCCACTCTGGCATGAGCATGAGGGCTCAGAGCCAGGCTCTGAACAACCCTAACTTTGGACGCCTCCCTTCCAGGCACCCAGCCCCACAACGGCCTGCACTCGCTGCCTCACCCTTCGCACCGGTGGCAATTGCTGCCCTTGAGGGACAGCCTCCAGTGAGCTGGATAAAGGAAGCAACAACAGGGCAGGACAAGAAGGTTTAGTCAACAGCCCTGTTGCGTGCCTGCTGTGTCTACGAGGTGGCCTGGTGATGCCTCCATCAGACAGTGGGGAGGTGGGCTCGGAGGCTGAGCAGCTTGCCCCAGTGGATCATGGTGCTGGGATTGGGGCCTAGGCCGAAGAGCCCCCGCCCACTAAGTGCTGTGGCTTAGGGACCTGGCCTAGCTTGCTGGTGGGTCAGACATGGCTTCCCAGAGGGAGCCAGGAGGAAGGAGGCACCTCCTGCAGAATCAGGAGCTGCTTGGATGGGGTTTGTACTGGAGGGGGAAGGTGGTTGGAGTCTAGGGGCAGGGGCCTGCGGGAGGGTGGCAGAAAGTAGCCTGAAGGGGCACCCAGTGGCCAGAGCCTAGGAGAGCCAGGTGGCAGTCTTGGCCTCTCCTTCAGCCTCCTGGCCTGCGCCTCCGCCCGCCAGCCCCGGCAGTGCCTCCAGGAACCTGCCCTCCGCGGCCTGCCTGCCTCTCCTCATCACCATCAGTCAACAGGCCGGAATCCCCAAGGGATCAGCCAACAGGGCAGGGCCGGGTCTGGGTTATTATTGTCCCAGTGACCCACGGCAGCCCACGGCCATGGTGAACCCTTGCACAACTCACTATTGCTGAAGAATTAGAGTCCCCTTTGCGGGACTTTGAGCACCGGGGACCCTGGAAGGAGGGCAACCTGGGTTACGTACACCCACCCGGTCCCAACCCGGGGGCCTTGGGCAGGGGGGTGGTGAGGAGAGCTGAGGGGCACTCTGTGATCTCTAAGACCTCTCTCCTCCACGAGGGTCACTGTTCCCATCTCGCAGGCTGGAAACTGAGGTCCAGTGAGTGGTGTGATTTATCCCAAGTCGCCCAGTGAGGCCGCAGCAAGGAACCCCATGCACGTTCAGCTCCTAAACGGTGACTTCCACCCAGGCCCCCTTGCCACAGGAGAGGGGCCTCCGCTGAAGATAAGATCAGGAGGGGCCAGGCCATCAACTGCAGCCTGTGAAAGTGGTTGCCGAAGCAAAGTGGCTGTTTCAAGAGCAACCGTCACGCTGGTGTTGCTGCAGGAGCAGGGGCTGCCGGAGGGCGCCGGGCCGAGCTTAGGTAGGGCCTGGAGGTGGGCGACACAGACAAGGACACTCGGACCAGCCATGCTGGGAGCCTGGCAGGTACGGGGCCTGCACTGAGGAAGGAGCGGACATGCCCGCCTGAAGAAGGAGCCGGGCACAGCGATGGCGATGCTGGAACGTGGCCTCAGAGCCGAGCGCCCTCTCCAGGCAGGCCGGGGGTCAGGAGCAAAGGATGAGCCACGAGCGTCCCTCGGTGGGACTGTAGGAGGAAAGACCGTTGGTGTGGGAGAGGAGGGCCCGGGGGGAAGGCCGGCTGGGGCGCCTTCTACACTCAGGAGGTGGACACGGAGGTACAGCCGAGGTCACGTAGCTAGTGACAGAGCCGATTCAAACCCCAGTCACCATGAGCCCACTGCAGCAAGTCACCTCTAAAGAAGTGACCCCCTAGTCAAGCCCAATAGGAGCTCAGAGTTCAAACCTACTTCTCAGTGTAAACCTGCTCCTGACTCGCACTGAAGAAGCAACTCCTGGGGAAGAATAAAGCCCACGGTGGGCCCGCGGCTTCGACGGAGCCTGCTGCCGGGCGGCTCGCTCTGGGGAGTTTCAGCCCTGACCCCGGCATCTCTCTGTGTCCCCCACACGGCCCCAGGAGGCATTTCTCTGCCAGGCCCTGCCTCAGCCACAGCCTCCCTCTCTCCCTGCACCTTGGAGGGAGCTGGTGGGGTTAGGGGTACAGGGAGGGGCTGAGTCCTTGATCACACAGCATTCATTCATTCAGTAAACACTTATTGAGCGCCTACTGAGTGCCAGGCCTTGTGCTGGGCATGCAGGGATATGACAGTAAGGCAAACCCAGGTCCTGCCCTGTCGGGGGAGGAGAGCAGCCTTTCCAATCATCCGGCTCAGCTCCCACTTTAGGGATGGGACAATTGAGGCCTGGAGAGGGGAAGGGACTTGCCCAAGGCCATGCAGCCAGTCAGTGGCAGGGCCTGGCCCGTCCCTCTTCTGAGGCGCACTGCTCCTCAGCCATCCAGCAAATATTCATGGAGCAACACCTGTGTCCCAGGCGCCACCCACGTCAGTGGACTCGGCAGCAGAGGGTGGGGATGCAGTGAGGGGGTAGGAGGGAAGAACACCCCCAGGCTGGCAAGGGGTGGGGTGGGGTGTTTCAGTCTCACAACTCCCCTGAAAACCAGAGGGAGGTTCCAGAAACCCCACCCAAGAGGCTGGGCTTCTGGGCCCCAGAGCTGCCCTCCCCCTACCCTAAGATGAGATATAAATGTCCCTTCCCAGCTACTTCCAGAGAAGAGCAGGAGCAGGTGGGAGGTTGGCTGGGGGTCCTCCAGGCAAGCAGCCTTCGGTGCAGGCTGGAGGTGTTGCTTGCTCTCCGTGCTGGGGAAGTCTCATTGCAGGGATGCAGCTGCTCCTGGCCCTGGCAGGGGTCCTAGCCACACTCAACCTTGCCCAGCCCTGGGAGGGCACTGCCCCAGGTAATAGCCCCTTAGACAGCCAAGAAGGAGGGCTGGTCTGAGGGAAGAGGAATGAAGAGCAAGTGCTTGGGGGGGGTCTATGGCTCCCCTACACCCTGAGTCCCCATCCCCTTTGAGCAGCCTCCCCCAGGGCAGTGGAGACCTCGGTCCTCCAGGACTGCATAGCGGAGGCCAAGTTGCTGGTGGATGCCGCCTACAATCGGACCCAGAGGAGGTGGGCCTGGGTCTGGGGGCTGCATGGGCCTGGGAGGGGCGATGAGGCAGGATGGGCTCCAGCCAAGGTCATCTCACCCAGCGCCCACCCCTGGGCCCCGCAGGATCTCCGCCGTTGGTAGAGAGCCTCCCTTCCACCCACTTTTCTGTCCATTTGCCCTGTCCTGACCGTCCACTGGGCTGGGGCTCTGCTGGGAGCTCTGCACTCCTCCCCCAGCCCTCACTTGTCTTCTGAGCAGCATAAAGCAGCGCCTTCGCAGCGGCTTGGCCAGCCCCATGGACCTCCTGTCCTACTTCAAGCAACCAGCAGCGACCACCAGGACAGTCATTCGGGCTGCGGATTATATGCACGTGGCCTTGGGGCTGCTGGAAAAGAAATTACACCAGTGGTCCAGACCCTTCAATGTCACTGGTACTCTGCTCCACACTGAGCCCCCGGGGCCTGGCCTGGCCTGGGAGTGGAAGGAAGCTGGGGTGGGGGGACAGGGGCACAGCCTTGGGGTATTGGGAGGAGAGAGGTAAAGGGACGGGAGGTATGGAACAGGCCAGCTGGGGCCTGCTCACCTGCCCTTCCCCCAGATGTGCTGACGGAAGCCCAGCTGCGGCGGCTGTCCCAGGCCAGCGGCTGTGCTCCCCGGGACCAGGCTGAGAAGTGCAGCAACAAGTACCGCACCATCACTGGGAGATGCAACAACAGGTAGGTGCCAGGGGCTGCACCTGACCTGGGAACACTGCCCTTCCCTCACCCACCCCCACCCTCCATGCGGAGCCTGCTAACCCTGACCCACCCGCTGCAGGAGGAGACCCTTGCTGGGGGCCTCCAACCAGGCCTTGGCCCGCTGGCTGCCCGCCAGGTACGAGGATGGGCTGTCACTACCCTTTGGCTGGACCTCCAGCAGGAGGCGCAATGGCTTTCTCCTCCCTCTCGTGAGTCAGGGCTGGGGATGTGGGGGATGCAAGATCTCTTTTAAATGCAGGAGTAAAACATCGCCCAGAGTCATCCAGACGGCACAAACCCAGGCTCTCCCACTGACCAGCTGGGTGACTTTGGGCAAATACGACAGGTTTCTGAGTCTGTTTCCTCATCTATAAAATAGTAGTAAAACCTACCTCATAGAGCTAGTGTGAATATTAAGTAAAATATTTGATGTAAACAGCTCTACAGGATGTGATCTATTAATGCTAGCTTTCGAGTATTGGGGCTTTTTCTCTGAGAGAATTAGTGTCAAAGTATCTTACTAAATATAAAGAGCTATATACCTTACTCTGGTTCTATTGATCTATATTATTTCACATTAATAGGCTCATCAATTTTCTGTTCATATGTCAATATAACAATTGGGGGTTAGGGTTAGGGTCTATCAACATCCATTAATTAATTTTTCTTCTACTGATCCATCCATCCATCCAGTTCTCTCTATATTTATTATCCATCACCTTGAAACCAGTCCATGCATCTAAGAATTGGTGCCATCATCTGATTATCTATTGGTCAATGAACTGATCTATCAATTTGATCTATTTCCCCCTCTGGAAGAGCTGGTGAGGCCTGAGCCAGCCCACCTGCCCCTCTCCTTCTCTTTACTGCTGGACCCTCAGAGGCCACACCAGAGACCATCCTTCCACAGTGACAGCAACAACAGGAGGTGGCTTCATCTCCAGGGACAAAAGGGGAAGGAGATGGAGGGTGGAAGAGGATGAGAGACTGTCAACTCCAGCAGGGGCAGCTGCTGCCCCCTGAGTCCCGGGTCGGCACCAACTCCTTGCGGGGCTGGGAGCCCATGCCCCACGCTGACATTATTTCCCCACCAGGTCCGGGCGGTCTCCAACCAGATCGTGCGCTTCCCCACCCAGAGGCTGGCCTCCGACCGGGGCCGGTCCCTCATGTTCATGCAGTGGGGCCAGTTCATCGACCACGATCTGGACTTCGCCCCGGAGTCCCCAGCCAGAGTGTCTTTCACTGCAGGCATTGACTGTGAGAGGACCTGTGCCCAGCTGCCCCCTTGCTTTCCCATCAAGGTACCCTCGGCCAGTCTCCCAGGCCCCTGGTGGGCCCCCTTCCTAGGCAGAGGGCTGGTGGGGGGTCGGGAAGACTGAAGCAACGTGGAGCTGAGGTGTAAGACGGAGACACAGGAGACACAGCCGGGCACAGGCTCAAGTGCTGTGCGTGTCTGAGTGCTGGGGGTGGGCCCATCTGCCAGGGGGCTCCGTGGAAGGGGAAGCACTCGAGACAGGCATTGGCCCACGGGTCTAATTCCAACAGGGGAGCCTCGGGGCCTCTACTTTCGGAAACCCTGAGGCTCCTGCAGCTCTCGCCAACTCCTGGGCTTGGGCTGCGAGCAGGGTCCTGTCCTTCGTGCTGGGAGGCAAGGCTGGTGTGGAGCACTAGGGAAGAAAGGATGGACTCCGGCAAGCAGTCTCTGCTGGGGACATAGGGAGACGTGCATGCACACGCTCACACACATTCACTCCCCCTTTACACCTTAACAGGTGGGGTGACATTCATGAGGGATGACACGTAAGGTCCTTGGCTGGCCCCTGCCTGTCTTCACTCTATCCATTCCTCAAGCCCTGGCTCAGGGACGCCTCCTCTGGGGAGCCCTCCCGGGTCTTCCTATTATACCGTTAGCATTTGGCTTGTATATTAAGCATAGCAAACGCCACTTCAATTTAGAGTTACTTAATTCTGTGTGTGTGTGTGTGTTTTCATGGAACTACCAGCTTCCTGTAACTGTAACTGGGCTTTTTCACCTTCATAGTCTCCAAAGCACCCAGCAAGAAAGGAGCTTAGGAAAGGTCCGTCAAATTGAACAGAATTAAAGGAGACAGGCCTGAACGTCAGAACTATGTTCTCAACCCGCCTCTCCCACTAACTAGTTGTCACTTCCCCTCTCTGAGGCTCAGTTTCCCCATCTGTAAAATGAGGATCTAGACTGTTTGAAAGCCTCACTCATTTCTAACCTTTGATGACTCTCTGATACAAAGTGCTAAGGATGCTCGGACTGAAGGGGTGAGCAGCACAGTCCGGGTGAGTGGAGGAGGGCTCCCTGGAGGAGGGGAGTTTAAGGCAAGGTTTTGAGGGAGCTGGGAGATGACCAAGAGGAGTGGGCCTGCTGTGGAGGGGTCCCAGTGTCACTGACCCCTCTTCCACCTCAGATCCCACCCAACGACCCCCGCATCAAGGACCGGCACGACTGCATCCCCTTCTTCCGCTCGGCCCCCGCGTGCCCCCAGAGCAGGAACACGGTCCGAAACCAGATCAACGCGCTCACCTCCTTCGTGGACGCCAGCATGGTGTATGGCAGCGAGGTCTCTCTGGCCCTGCGGCTCCGCAACCGGACCAACTACCTAGGACTGCTGGCCGTCAACACCCGCTTCGGCGACAACGGCCGGGCCCTGCTGCCCTTCGACAACCTGCACGAGGACCCCTGTCTCCTCACCAACCGCTTGGCGCGCATCCCCTGCTTCCTGGCAGGTCAGACTGGGGGAGAGGTGGTGTCTTCCCAGAAAACAGCCGTCCCTGCGTTCGGGACGGGGAAGCCGGGTGGATGCAGGGAGGGTGCGTGGTTGGGACGTCAGGATCAGGCACACCACAGGCACAGGTCTGTGCACAATCACAGAATCAGTAAGGGGGAGGGTCTTGCAAACGCCCTGTGTGCGGCCAGATCACTGCTTGACCATCTCCAGCAAGAAGGGACTCACCACCTGTGTGGCACTTGAGCCCCTCCCCAGGCGGCTCTGACTTTTAGGAAGGTCCTCCTTGTTTCGAGCCACTATCCACATGTTGCTCCGAGTCATGTTTCTGGAACCTCAGAGAGGCTGTCCCTCTTTCACACAGCAACTGCCCCTTTAATTACCTGAAAGCAGCTGTTATTTCCATGTAAATTTTTTCCTTCTCTAAATTCCTTTGCCAGGCTGGGCTAAATTTCCTTAGTCCCCCCAGCCCCCTCCACGCGCGCACACTGTGGCCAGACACCGTTGCCTGGTCCCTTCTTTTGGATGAATAATTTGAATTCCCCGCATGTACATGGTTATAATAATAATGGTAATCACTTCCGGTTATTTAAGATATTTAGATGTGCCATCCCTCAACCTTCCAGCAGCCCTCAAAGGAGGGGATTATCATTCTCATTTTACAGATGAGAAACTCAGACTCAGGGAAGAGGGATAATGTGCTCAAGAGCACAGAGTTTCAAAGGGCAGAGTTCACGTTAGGGACTCACGTCCACGCCCTTCCCCTGCTCTCCCCACAGGGGGTCGGCTCCACCCCCGTGTCTAAGGACTGCACATCTGTGTGTCCTGGGAAGAGCAGCACGACAGGTCTACTGAAGAGCTGCCCAAATAAGGCCTTGTGCAAAAGGGCTTGGTTAAAAGCAAACAAATGACTGAATTTACTTTCCTTCCTTGCCTATAGAAGGTCTGGGGCAGGAACGGGGCTCTGCACGACCCTCCTTCCCTTTCTCTTTCCCTCTGGCTCCCCGGAGGAGAGGGGCATGACACCAAGTCCAAAGACAAGAAAAGGTACAGCCTTTGGTAGAGAACAAGCAGATGGACGCAGTGCATGGGACAAGCGGGCTCACAGAACCAAGGTCAAGGTTCTGGGAGTCACTGGGTCCCTCCACCATAGCTGGTCCAGGCTGCGGATCTGGTTGTCTTAGGCAGAGGTTTCCCTGCCTGAGACCAACAGCTGCCCTGTGCTTTCCCACCTAGACCGAACCTGCTCCAGCCACTAAGACCCCACTGTCCTCCCTTCCTGGCCTGTCATGTTGGGGGACGAGGGTCACAGTTAAACAAGGAGCTCACAGCACAGCCGAGGGGATGGAAGTCCAGTGAGGGCCAGGAGCCGCCCCGTTTCTCCAGTCCCCAGCCCTCTGTCTGCCCCAGCAGAAAGACATTTCTCTGGGAAAGGCTGTGGCAACTCTGCACTTGGGGTTTTCAAGGTGACTCCCGATCATCGGAAACTCCCAAACTGGCAGCCATGCACACCCTCTTTATGCGAGAGCACAACCGGCTGGCCACTGAGCTGCGGCGCCTGAACCCCCGGTGGACTGGAGACAAGCTGTACAACGAGGCTCGGAAGATTGTGGGGGCCTTGGTCCAGGTAGGGGGCCCTGGGTCCCAGCATCCCCCAGAAGACAGCCTGGCACGGAGAAGCAACCTGAGCAAGTGGCTCTCATCTTCCTTAACACATCCTTGGGATGAACATCAAGCCAGCTGGGTCTGGGTGACTGGGGGTGTGCCTGACAGCTGACCTCTACCCCCGATCCTGCCACTCACTCACTGTGTGACCCTGTCCATGTCACTCAGCTTCTCCATCTACCAATGCGAAATTAACGTTGCCACACATGGCATGATGACAGTGAAGGGTAACGTGTCTGAGTGGCCCTTTGCAAAGGCAAGGGTGTGGGACGTGCAGCCACTGGGGTAATGTTCCTCCTGTCTTCTCTCCCAGATCATCACCTATCGAGACTTTCTGCCCCTGGTTCTGGGCAAGGCTCGGGCCAGGAGAACCCTGGGGCCCTACAGGGGGTACTGCTCCCATGTGGACCCGCGAGTGGCCAATGTCTTCACCCTGGCCTTCCGCTTCGGCCACACCTTGCTCCAGCCCTTCATGTTCCGCTTGGACAGCCGATACCAGGCCTCGGCACCCAACTCGCAAGTTCCTCTCAGCTCTGCCTTCTTTGCCAGCTGGCGAGTCGTGTATGAAGGTGACCAGGTTTTCCAGAGGCAAATGTGGGTGAGGGTGGGGAGCACACCCTCCCCCAGGTGGGCTGGGCTTACTGCCAGGAGGCCTTGCTGCCGCTGAGGCCACTGCTAATATCTCCCCAGGACAGTGGGGACAAGGCAGGACACTCAGTCACAGGCCTCCCATCCTCCGGGATGTCTAAAGGGGGCAGAGACTGATGTCAGACCTGCAAGGAGTTTGCCTTCACCTTCCACTCTTTAAGAAGTAGGGTGACCCCTCTCCCTCCCAGCTGCAGCTCCTTCATACCCCGCCCCCCCAGGTCTCTGTTTCCTGACAAATATTATAGAACATAAGCAACTGGCTGGCCCAGCTCTGAGCTAGCTTGGCATCATGTGATGATCCACTCCCTGAGGCTGGTCCAATCTGTGCTGCTCACGTTCCCCGCCACCAGGTGGCATCGACCCCATCCTCCGAGGCCTCATGGCCACCCCTGCCAAGCTGAACCGTCAAGATTCCATGGTAGTGGATGAGCTCCGGGACCGGCTGTTTCAGCAAGTGAGGAGGATCGGGCTGGACCTGGCGGCTCTCAACATGCAACGCTCCCGGGATCACGGCCTTCCAGGTGAGGGGGCTGCCTGCCTCTCCCCCCAGCTTTGCGCAGGCTGGGGCTGCCGCCTCCTTTCTGACTGGGACTGTCTCAGGATGGGCAGTGGTGCAGAGGCACGCAAGGCCAAGGGTGATGCAACAAAGCATCCTGGGAACACCTGTTTACCATTCCGCCAAGTCTCTCCCTTCTGCTGTAGGGTCTCCAGCTTTAGGTTCAGCACACGACCAGGACTTGGGCACAGGAGCCAAAAAAGGGAGATCAGGACTTTCCAAGTAGAGAAAGCAGTAGATTTAAAAGGCAGGGAAGAACTGCCCCATTCCCAAAACCTGGCAAGTTGCAAGGAGGAAGGCTAAAATTCTAGGGCTACAGAAACACCCCTTGCTCTAAGTGGAGAAAGGCCAAGAGCTCAGAGGCAGGGAGCAGGGGGAATACAATTAAGTTTGCATTGGCTGTTTGGTGAGGGCACGAAAGACTTTATCCCAGGAAAGCCAAAAAAGTAGGCACTTTGCTTGGCATTTTCATGTATATTAACTTATTCTGTCCTCCCAGTGACCTTGAGAAGCAGTTATTACAGCCATTTATAGATGAGGAAATAAGGTCAGAGACAGCTATTAATTTGCTCAAGGTCACATAAGTAGGAAATAGTAAATTCCACAGTTCTTTCTTACTTAATTAGAGACAGGGTCTTGCTGTTGCCCAGGCTGGTCTCATACTCCTGGCCTCAAACGATTCTCCTGCCTCAGCCTCCCAAAGTGCTAAGATTATAGGCATGAGCCACCACACCACGCCCAGCCCAATTTTTCCTTTCTTCCCCCCATTCGACCCCATTAAAGGAAGGCTCAGGCCACTGCCTTGCTCCTCTCACCTTCCCATCTCCCACCTCCCTGTCTAGACAGAGCCTGAAGCCCCAACTACCTCAGCTGATCCTTGGCCATGTAGGGAGTGGGGGGACTTCCTACTGCTCACCCCACTTAACTCAGTGCCCAGCAGCACATAGCAGGCACTCAAGAAACCTGTTTCTTTGCTTCCTTAAACTTGGGTGCTTCTGACAGCTCTGGAGCTGTGGGCACCCCTGCTGGAGAACCGAGATCACTGGCCACCCAAGCTGCCACACAGTGAGCTTCTGCCCTCCAATACCTATTCCCGCCAAACCATCCCAGGAACTTTATCCTGATGCTAGCTCTTGCAGTTGCCTCCAATCCCCTTCCAAGTCTAATACCAAATTTGGAATTGGACAACCTGGTTTGAACTTAATAGTGAAGTGACCTTGGAAAGGTCATGGTTGCTCAACTTCAGCAAATTTGTCAGATATAATTAACATACCATAAAAGTACCTCCCAAAGGTGCTGTGAGGCTCCTGAGACATACACATTCAACAGTACTTAGTAACACAGTCGTTTTCCTTGTTCCGCTGGCAGATGGTGTTTGTAAGCGGTAGTTTAATGGACGAGGCTGGGCTGGTGTTTCTTTAGCACGTGGCAAAGCTATGTCCTATCATGATTGTCCACACCATATTATGTCTCTTGGCCCTGTGTGGGATCCTGATAGCTAAGAAATCAGTATGGATGGTCCTTGGAAGTTTCTGAAAACTTTCTTTTTTCGAGAGTCTTGCTCTGTCTCCCCAGCTAGAGTGCAGTGGCATCATCACAGCTCACAGCAACCTCAAATTCCTGGGCTCAAGCGATCCTCCTGCCTCAGCCTCCTGAGTAGCTGAGTGCACCACCACTTCTGGCTAATTTTTTCTATTTTTTAGTAGAGACAGGGTCTTTCTTGCTCTTGCTCAGGCTGGTCTTGAACTCCTGACCCCAAGCGATCCTCCTGCCTTGGCCTCCCAGAATGCTAGGATTATAGGTGTGAGCCAACGCACCCAGCCTGAAAACTTTTTAAAAGCAGCTTTATGAGATACACTATAAAATTCACCCATATGAAGAATACAATTCAATGATTTCAGTGTATTTAGAGTTATGCAATCATCACCATGGTCTAATATCAAAACATTTTCCTCAGCCTGAAAAGAAACCTTGTAATAACATTAGGTCACTCCCTATCCCCACCTTAGCCCCCGATAACCCCTAATATACTTTCTGTCTCTATATTGGCCTATCCTGGACCGCTCCTATAAATGGAATCATACAGTGCGTGGTCCTCTTCTGAATTTTATCCATGTTCTTCATTTGTTTGTTTATTCATTCATTTATTCATTTGCTTTTTCATTCATTCTACAAACCTGATTGAGAGTCTTTTACATTCTGGGTACTGTCTTATATGTGCCTAACTAATGCACATGAGCCTAATTATAATATCACTGTATGTCAGATTTATGGTTATGAATCTTGGGTTACAACAGCTTTTTACATTAGGACGCACGCCTCAGTCTGACGTATATAGTCTGGTGTACACAAAGCATGGTTGTCCACTCACATTTTAAATTAGAGGACAGCAATCTGTTCTTTGGAAGGCTCGGGGCCTCTTCTGCCAGTTGAGATCTTTCTGTTCTGCCCAGTATTGACTGGCCACAGCTTTCTCTCAGAGAACTTTGGAGAGAAGCAGAAGCTACCAGGAGGTCAGCGAGGCTGAAGGTATTTTTCCCCCGTCCCCTACAGGGTACAATGCTTGGAGGCGCTTCTGCGGGCTCTCCCAGCCCCGGAATCTGGCACAGCTTAGCCGGGTGCTGAAAAACCAGGATTTGGCAAGGAAGTTCCTCAATCTGTATGGGACGCCTGACAACATTGACATCTGGATTGGGGCCATCGCAGAGCCTCTTTTGCCAGGGGCCCGGGTGGGGCCTCTTCTGGCTTGTCTTTTTGAGAACCAGTTCAGAAGGGTCCGAGATGGAGACAGGTAAGTGACCTACCCGAAAAGACATCCGCACCAGAGACAGAGCAGAAGACACTGGCGTTTCAAGATGGGAAAGCAATGGGGGAAAGTGCTCTTCTGGCTTCATTTCTTCCGAGTTCACAGGATCCGAGACCAGGAGGCTCCTCCCGAAAGCTGGGTCAGAGGGAAAAACACACCGACCCAGGCAAGGCTAACACTGCCTGAGCTGGGGTCACCGTAAACCCAGGAGGCAGACTTGTCAGCCTCACTGTTCCAGGCTAGTGGATTCCAGAAAACGGACAGAAAGGGCTAAATCTGGTTTCCCTTTAGTAAGTTTCTGATCCAAGACCTGACTCCTTACTTGGATTTGGTATTTGCCTGGGTCCAAATCCAGCTCTGGCCACTTAAATTACTTAATACTGGGCACTTAATACTGGGCAATTTATTTAAACACTGAACCTGTTTCTTCCTTTATAAAAATAATACTTATTTTGTAGGAATTTTGTGAGAATTGAATGAAATAATGTATGTAAAAATACCTGGAACAAAACAGGTGCTAATTATAAGGTAATTCCTCCCCAACCTTCATCCACTTCTCTTGACTACCCGGTAGGTTCTGGTGGCAGAAACGGGGCGTTTTCACCAGAAGACAGCGCAGGGCCCTGAGCCGGATTTCCTTGTCTCGGATTATATGTGACAATACCGGTATCACCACCGTTTCAAGGCACATCTTCAGGGCCAACGTCTACCCCCGGGGCTTTGTGAGCTGCAGCCGTATCCCCAGGTTGAACCTGTCAGCCTGGAGAGGCACGTAAGGCTTCTGCAGGTAAGGGGAGGCCTCCTCCAGCAGCGCTGGGCTGGGTCATGCCCTCACATCCTTCCCTGGATGGGATAGCTGAGTCCTCTTAGGCCTCTAAGCAGAACAGAACTTGTCACTAGGGACAGGGTACTCCTCCCTAGTGTCTTTCCAGTGTGCTAGCTTTTAGGCTCACAGTCAATCCCAGGGCCTAGGACTTTGGGGGACAATTAGGAAGTGCCCAACTATCCCCAACTTGGTCACTAATACCCTAAAACAGCTCCACTTCTGGATGTCCAGCAAAGTCCTCACTTAGCCAGGTCTGCTGTTTCCACAGGAGTCTATGCCAAGCTACAACCCTTGGAGACAAAGGGAAGGGGAAGATTATGAGGCTGCCTTCACCCTCTGGAGCAACTGTGTCCTGCTGATGCTTTGGCTGGCTACACCTCAGAGTTGGCTGGGAGTGACAGCTGGTGCTCCTAGCAGCACTGGACTCACCTGCTTTGGGAGCTTCTTAGGTATTAGCTTATGAATCAGCGCCAGGTGCAAAGACTTGTGAACCAAGCCATGCGGCCTTGAGGCCCAGGCAAGAAGAGCCAGCTAGAGAGTTCCCAGCTCCTTTCTTCTGTTTCCCAGCCCTCCCCCACCTGACTGGGAGACCACACAGTCCCAGCCTCTAGCCACCACACAATCCTCCCCTGAGCCTGCGGCTGGGCAGCATGCTCTGCTTCTCCCAATAAAGCACTGCTGAGGGCAGGGGCTGCCGTTTCTGTGTCGGGCTGGGAGAGCGTGGCCACAGTCCCCTGCTTTGCTCCAGATGTTTAAGAGGAGTGCTGCGAAGACACAAGCTGGCACTAACCACTGAGCCTCTCCTGGGGCTGAATTACGAGAGCCCATAGCAACACTCGGGAGTAGGGAAAGGAGGAAAGGGGAAGGGCAGACATTAGGGGCCCTGACAATAAGATGACAACCTCAGCCATGCCAGAGACCTGAGCAGAGAAGGAGCCTACAGAACATCGGTCAATATAAAAAGTTTTTATGTACAAAAAACACAATAAAAGATATATCCAGCTAGCAGAAAGGACTGGGCACTGCCTTTAGCCCTCACTTACTCCAGAAATGAGTCATATCTCAATCTCAACAAGGCCTAAGCAGCAGAATGAGGCTGCCCTGGAAAGAGGAGGCTGAGACTCACAGGCCGGGATTTAAATCTCTCTCACCTTCCTGCTCCTGTCTTGGAAGAAGGCAGGCAGGCTGTGGAACAGCAGATCCCTGTAGCCCTCTGCTACTGAGACTGAGACAAGCTGAAAAGAGGCTGTGTCAAGGGCAGACTAATTACGAGGTCACCCCAAACGAGTTGCAGACCAAAAGTCTGCCTTGTTGTGATGCCCATTTATAGCAGCTGAAATATGAAGAGGGGGACCACAAAGGGCCACAGGTCTCTGGCTTTATATCCACATGGCAGGGAAAACACCCAGCAGAAGGTTAGGCAGAGGCGCCAGCCAGGGATTTCCTGGCTTTTCCAGTTCTCAGCAGGCCAGTGTGGGCTCTAATAAGAAAGATGAAGAGGCAGGAGAGCACCGGCCTCAGGCATCCCTCGTCCTGTCCTCTTGCACCGTGGGCCAGGGCTATAGTGAGCTAGGACTCCAGGGTTTCTGAGGGCCTTACTAAGTCCTGGGGGAGGCTTTCTCGGGCCTCCTGCATGCGGCGCCGGGCTCGATAGAAGGCCTCTGCAAGGGAAAGAGATGCAGTAGTCAGCTGCCGTGGTGCCCGGAGGAACACAGCCCATGCTGACCCCGTGTAGCCAGCTGGGACAGGGGAGGACCTACCCAACACATTGTGAACGGAGCTCTGCTGGCTGAATCCTTCCAGACGGTCCAACATACTCTGCATCCTTTTCCGAAGGGAGCTTGATTCCATAAAGGCTCTGCAGGGGGGCCCATCACATGGTCGCAATTGCTCTCCAGTCCCCAGGGCTAAGGTGCCCCAGGGCAGAGGGCCAGGTCACTCACCTGGACTGCTGCAGACAGTGCAAGCGGAAGGTGACGCTCCCTGTGGTTTCTGTGCGGAGTCCGAAGCGGCTGAGACGCTCCCCCTGTGGTATACGGTTGAGACAGCATCAGGCCTCTGCAGTCTCTAGACGCCAGGTGCCAGGCTGGCCTCGCTCCCATTCTCATTGCCATCCTTGCAGAAAGCAGCTCCGCCGGGGAAACCCCATTCCCTCTCCCATCACCTCACGGCTGACACTGGGCCCCCACTATAGATCAGGGAACATTCCAACTTCACCTAAGAAGCAGCAATCTTACACGTTCACTGAGAATTCTCCCCACATCTGTTTACCAGGCCTTCAGTGATGGGGGAAAAGGCGGAGCCAGTTATTCTGATGGGGACTAGGGGAAATCTCTAAGTATACTGTTTTCCAGAGATCTCCTAGGATGGCAGTATAGATATTTGAACCTGGTTCAAAATGTGGCCATGACTTCCAGCTTATGCCACAGTAAGGAAGGGGCTAAGTAATACTGAAGCAATGAACAACGAAGGGGCCTTAACCCAGATCCCACCTTCTACAGAACAGAAAGACAGGACAGTAAATTCCCCAGCATGAAGTTGGCCCAGAGACGAAAGTCACCTTGAAGGTTCCTGGTATCCGCACGTAGGAGAGGTCCTCCAGTTCCAGAGAACCGCCGATGAAAAACCTCCTCAGCTCAGCTACGGTGCCCAGCTCCATGGGTCTCCACGTGGAGACCGTCAGGGTGTGAGAGCCTGCGCACAGGGAGAAGAGAGTGGCGCCAGGACCGGAAAGCGCATGCCGCCCCTCACTGGTGCAATGACACAGGCTGACACTGCTAAAACACCTGGTCTGGTGACGACCAGGCCTCTGGGAAAGGTTCTCATGGTGGTTCAGAGCGCCAGTTTGGAAACCAATCAGATAGGAGTTCAAATCTTGGCTCTGTCAATTATTGCCTGTATGCCATAACAGGTTTCTTTTTTTTTTTTTTTTTTTTGAGACAGAGTCTCAGTGAGTGCCGTGGCGTCAGCCTAGCTCACAGCAACCTCACACTCCTGGGCTCAAGCGATCCTACTGCCTCAGCCTCCCAAGTAGCTGGGACTACAGACATGCGCCACCATGCCCGGCTAATTTTTTCTATATATATTTTTAGTTGTCCAGATCATTTCTTTCTATTTTTTAGTAGAGACAGGGTCTCGCTCTTGCTCAGGCTGGTCTAGAACTCCTGACCTTGAGCGATCCACCCGCCTCGGCCTCCCAGAGTGCTAGGATTATAGGCGTGAGCCACCGCGCCCGGCCCATAACAGGTTTCTTAACCTGTGAGCCTCATTCTCGTGTGGTAAAATGGGAGTAATAGCACAACCTGCCCCTCACAGAGCAGCTGGGAGAATTAAATGAGAAGCATTTGGCACAGTGCCTGGCACACAATAAAAGACAGCCGCTTTTATTTCAAAGTGAACACTGACTCATATAATACATATGCGCCAAGAGCCCCACGCAGCTTCTCCCTCAAGGCCGTAAGTCCAGCTGGAGGAGCACAGAGCATGCAGCAGAGACCGCGAGGCTGCTTGGCTTCGGGAAGTGAGTTCCAATTTCACTTAGCTGTCTCGAACAGAGAGGGAAGAAATTCCCCAAACAAGGTAAACGCTTCTGATTTCTAATTATCCATACTTCTCGCCAGAAGCATTCAAATCTTTTGGAAGTGTTAGTCTCATGCCTAGGACCTAGGGCATGCGAGCCACAGAAGGGCAGGACAAGAGGTTACCTGGGGTGGCAGGCAGCACCACAGCCCCGTAGCCTTCCACACGATACCTCTGCCAGAAGTCCAAGGAGAGCACCTCACAGTAGAGCACAGGCCACTCAGGGAGAGCATCTGGGAGCAAATGAGAGCAGCAGCCAGGTCACAGAGGCCTTCACTGGCTGAGGAGAACCAAGGCCCAGGATCAACTGCTGAGCTACTCACCGGCAGATTCATCCTTGTGGAGGAAGAAGGCTTCAAACGTGAATGGGTAGCAGAAGTAAGCCACCTTGTCCTAAAAAAGAGGAGTGTCCCTTTATACTCAATGCCATACAGTGGGAAGGCCTCGTTTGGAATTTGTTCTCCCTGGAGCCAATGACAAGGTCACTTTTACAAGAGAAAAAGAAAAATGATCACCCCAGGTGGGAAGTTAAGAGGTTGAGAGGCAAAGGGATACCCAAATACAAGATGCTGCCCTTCTCAAAACGGCAGAGAGAGGACTGGGCAGCCCTTCAGAGCCCACACGGAAGAGTCAGACCCAACTCTGGAATCCTCCCCAGAGTGCAGCAGCTGGCCTGATAAACCCTCAAATGCTGCCCCAGGAGCAGATTCCCATTCCCTTCCAGATACCCTCGCCCATCCTCCATACCATTCCCAGGGACTTGGTGGCACAGGTCTGTGTTATTCCTGAGAGCTTCTGGAATGCTGGGCTTGACCAGTCTGAAAGCCAAAGACCAGATATACTAAGCTCACCTGGGAGGAGAGCAAGTAATTGAGAAAAAGCCAGTCTCTTTATTCATTTATTCATTCACACAATCAATCATTCATTTACTGTTTACTGGGAGTCTGCTATGCGCTCCTACATCTTGGAGATATCTTGCTAAACAGATAGAAAAGATCCCTCTCTCTTATGGAGCTAACATGGGGGGCGAGGTTGGGGAGACAGACAACAAACAAACCAACAGGAGACTATCGGGTGGTGATAAGTGCTGTGCTAAAAACAGAACAGGGGGAAGGGACTGAGTGACTTGGAGGCTCACTTAGATGGGGTGGGGAGAGAAGGCCTCTCAGAAGTGACACAGACTGAGACCCAAACTCAAGTAGAACCAGCCATGCAAAGATATGGCAGAAAGCGTTTCAGACAAAGGAAATGATCCTGAGAAAACTCTAGTGGGCAAGACCTTGGCTGCAAAGAATGACTGGAATGTTGTAAGGAAGAGATACCCATGGGCCAGCTCATGCAGGGAGTGGAGTTTGGATTTTACTCCTAGTGGGAGGGGAAGCTGTTGGGGTTTTCAGCTCGAAAGCGACACAACTGGCTTACATTTTTAAAAGCTCGATTTGGCTACGGTGTACGTGGCAAATGAACTGCAAGGGGGAGGAGAGGAAGCAAGAGGATGAGTCAGAAGCTGACTGCACTGGCCCAGGTAAGAGATGGTGGTAGCCTGGTGTAGGGTGGAGAGAGGACAGCTTCCGAAGACAGAGCTGACAGGAACCGCTGACGGACTGACCAGCTATAGGGAGCTAGAGGAAGTCAGGAATCAAAGATATCTCCTAGGTTTTTGGTATCAGCAGCTAGGTGGATGATGCTGCCACTCTGCTAGGATGGGGAAGACCAGGGAGGATAGGTTTGGGGGGAGGGAGGGAATCAAGAGTTCTCTTTGGTAACGTTCAACAGAAATGACAAAGAGGAAACTGGATGTGAGTCTGGAGTTCAGGGAAAAGGTTGAGGCTAGAGATGGAAACCTGGGAATGTGAGACACGCAAATGGTATTTAAGCTGTGGGATGGATGAGATCACCTAGGAAGAGCATTGATAGAGAGGAACAGAAGGCCTAGGCTCCGGCTTTGAAGCTCTAATAGTTTAAGATCAACAGAAGAGGAGGAATTGGCCAAGGAGGCTGATAAGCCACCAGCAAGATGGAAGAGAGAAGCGTGGAGCCAGAAGCCAAGAGAGGTGTTTCATGAGCTGTGTCAGATGCTTCAGAGAGGTCAGGTAAGGTGAAAGCAGAGAAGTTACCACTGGATTTGGCAAAGTAGAAGTGATCTATGACCTTGAAAAGAGCAGTAAAAGTTTCCGTGGAGGAGGGGGGAAGGAAGCCTGACTGAATGTCTCTAGCACTGTCAGAATGGGTACGAAAGGAGAGATTTAAGAAATTACTTACTAGTAGTTGGCAATTCTACAAAGAAGTGGACGTAGAGATTGTCATACTCATAGCCTTGGGCTGAAACTGAGAGAGAAAACAGGAAACTATTTTAGCTTGTTCTCCTACCACCCTCAGCACCCAACCCAGTCCTGCGGGCCCTACATGCTTTGGAAGCAAGTCTTTTGAGGGCCAGGAACTCTCTGGGTTTCCAGGAAAGACTCATCACTGAGTTTCCAAAGCACTGTAGACAACCCAAGGCCTCCACCAGGGTGGGGCAGGTTATTCATAGCTCTATCCAAACACCTGCCTAAGCATCAAGAGATCTCTATCTGGCAAGATACTTACCTACCTCTCCATTTACAAAGAGCCGGAGGGTGCCTGGGACAGTCTAAGGTGGAGACAAGTGGGGAAAGATCAGGAGGCTGGGAGGGAACCAGGACTTCTCCCCAGCCCTGCCCACAAACCTGCAGAAGACCTGACCCTGGAGGTCAGACCCTGGGTCACTACTGCACTTCCTCACCCCCACCCCTACGCTTCTCCACAGATCTGTTTCCTTCATTTCTAAAATTCACAACGTAGGGGAAAGGATATAATTTAAATAGTAGTAAGGGCAATGCAGTGTGGGAAATTAGCAACAACAGCTGCCCTTTGGCACGCAATGGGAAGCCAAAAACCCCTGTTCCCTTTAGATGGCTGAGGTCAGGAAACTAGCAAGGTTTCTTTTTTTAATTATTTGTGTATTTGTTTTATCTAACTTTTTAATACTGAATATCTGTGGCTTATGTAATATGAAAATAATAAAACTTAATTTTTTAAAGAGAGAGAGGGAGACCAGTAGGTAATTCTATCTTTGTTTCCAGATCTAGAAATGGAACTCTTGGAATGAAGGAAAACAAAGTACAGGACCACAGAATAACTGACCTGAATTTTTTTTTTAAGAGCCAAAATATTTAACAAACAGAAATGACTCCTGTTCCCTCTCTCTAGGGCATTTTGGAAAAATATCTACACGAAGAGGGAGGAAGACATTGTTCATCTTTAATTTATTAAATTAATTATAAAGTAACACGTGAATACATTACCACTACCTAAGCTTAGGGAATAAAAAGGGAAAATCCCTGACATATCCCTCCCACCACCCGCTACCCATCTACCACCTCCCAATTCACCCCCTCCCCAGAGAAAGCCATCCGCAGCATGTGTGGACCCTTTCAGACCCTTTCCTATGTGTGAACAGTTCTGTATCAATATGCAGTGTTTCAAAACACATAACAAGGACTATACGCTATGTGCTATTCTTTGACTTCCTTTCTTCACTAAAGAGTAGATCTTGGAGACCTTTAAGAGAGGCACTGTAACTCAGCCAGAGTCCGAACGCTCTGGTTAAACCCAGCTCACAGTGCTGCAGGAAGCCAAGTACTCACCATCTCAAAGTCAGTGCCCACGAGGCTGCTGAGATACTCCTTGTGCCGGCCATAAAGCTGAAGAAACAAACCAAACCAAAACTCAAGATGCAACCCAAGCCAGACCAGGGCTCAGTTCTGAACGGGAAGGAGATAAAAAAGCAATTAATGGGAAAGGACACCGAGAGCTGGAGGCCTAAGCATCCCACTCACTGTCATTTTAAAGTGAAGCACAGAGGCTCTGGAGTCAGCAGGTCTGGGACCGAATTCCGACTCGCACACTTACAAGCTACGTCACCTTGGGCAGACTACTAAGCTCCTCAATCTCAGTCTCCTCGTTTATAAAATGGTAATAATAAAAGTATTTACCTCAAAGGGTTGTTGTGAGGTCCAAAGGAAATAAGGTTTGTGAAGTAGGGCCTAGCACAGAGCATGGTAAATGCTCAAATAAATGGTCATGGCTGTTATTATAATATGATCAAAAACTTCCGTCTGATACGTCAGCAACGCTTCCCAGGTCAGAAGAGGCTGTGGAGGGCAAGGCTTGTCCCTAGTAACAGCTGACATCAAGCTCAGACACGGTCTCAGCTCCAGGCACTGAGGCTCATCCCTTTGGTACTTGGAGTGAACTAGCTCTTACATCCTTGAACACTCGCTGTTCCCGCTCCTCCTCCTCTGGCTGTGCGAGGGAGGACACGTTGTCAATCGTATACTTCCACAGCTCCTGCTTCTCCCCTTCTGTCTCGATTCTGTAAGGTCAAAGCCACAAAAGGACTAACTCTGACAGTAAGAGATGGGGCCCTTCAGATCTAGCCCAGGGCTGAACCGTCACTGCCCACACACCTCGCTTGCAGTATATGATGACGAAAATGGCCGTAATGATGGCTGGGAGAGGGAAACAAAATGGTGAAGCAGAAAGGGCACCAGACCAGACTCAGAAAGTGTAGGTTCCAGACCCTTGAAGTCACCGTGAAACCCTAACACACAACATCCCTGGCACCCAGTTCTCTCACTTGAAAAATGGACAGGTTTATCCAAATGATTTCCAATTTACAGTTCTAGTATTCCAAGACACAGAGATAAGGAAAAATCGGCACAGAAGAAAAGACCTGGCTGAGTTCACCTCACTCTGTTCTGGTCAGTCCTTACATTTGGCAGCACAGAGAACCATTTTCACCAAACTACACCACTGAAGTGATCCCTTTCAAATGGTGCACTTGCACATTTTGAGAACAGGGTCCCCAGTTTTCTAAGGGCCTATGGCCCAGAACAGAATATGAACCACTGCCTGGGAATTTAAAAGTTAGAACAGATGACGGGCTTTCTGAAAATCTCCTCAACTAAGAGCAAGAAGTGAAGCCAAGGGAAGGAATACCAGTCTCCACTCTTTCCTCCTCTCCTCACCTGTAGGGTGCTCTGAGGCCTGTGAAGTCAGGTTTAACTGTGATCACACCATTGCTGTCCACCTTCACGGTACAGAGGACATGCTCATACTTCTTGTAGCCAAGCCTAGAAATCAGGAAGTCAACACCAAGGTTCAGGATCACTGGTCCTTCAAGGCAAGAGGAAGAGACAGCCTGCTCCAGGGGAGAGAAGAGAGGCTACAGTGAGAACTACCATAGTAAAAGACTTTCTTCCGAGTACCGCTAAGAAGAAAAGGAAGAAAATGTCCTTCCCTCCCGTATACCCCAGGGAGGAGGATACAGGAAGGCAATGGCTAGTGAGAGAAGAAGAGGCTGAGGATCTGAGCTGGCAGTGAGATGCGTTACTCACTTTCCATATGGCCCCAGGTCTGCCATGATGTACATTGTCTGAAGAGGGGTGTTAATGACATGGCTATTCTTGACGAACTCCTCCGAGGGTTCCCAGGTGATGATGCGTGACTTGAGGATGCCGCCCTCCCTGGGAAACACCACAGGAAGGGTCAATTCCCTGGCACCCCCTAAAGAGCCTGAAGGGGGGAGCATGCCCCAGCGGTGGTCCATTTCAGGATGGGATGCTTGAGTTGGTGAACATACTGTTTTAAGAGCCAAAATATTTAACAAACAGAAATGATATCCCTTCCCTCTCTATGGGGCATTTTGGAAAAATATCCAAATGAAGGGTGAGAAAGACATTTTACATCTTTATATTGATTTTTTAAATTAATTATAAAGTAATAATGAATACTGTATATTACCACTGATAAAAATTCAAAACTACCTAAGTTTAGGAAATAAAAAGCTCCAGTTGGTGGACATACCGAGAACACTGGCATGGAAGGACCACAAAGGCCCCACTGACCCCTCACACACTTGTACTCACGTTCCTCTCCTGTCCTGCCGTCGCCGCCTGACGTTTGCCATTCGTTCAACTAAGAAAGACGGCACCTCACTGGCTGCGGTGGTCATTTTCTGACAGTGCTGAGAAAAGAGAGCAGCCCCATGTGAGCCATCTGGTCAGGGCCACCTGGGGCCAAGTACTCGAAGGGAAGTCTTCCTTCTGAAACCTCCTCCATGACCTCAGCCTAACAGGCACAACCACCTCACTGTTACACATGCTAATGCGGGGGAGCAGTGGCACAAACAAGCCAAGAAGACGTCTACCACATCTTGGACTGTCCCAGGATTTCAGATTTTATTTATGCTAATATTAAAATTAGTCTGTATTCTCTGAGCACAAAAAGTTGAGTTAGTTTGCCTGGTAGATGTTGAAGTTAACTAGGTGGTTGGAAAGTAACAAATGGGATACAAGTATTTTGTGGAAAATCCTCATGTGGTAACTGAACACTAACTGCATTTTTATTTGCTTTTCCAAAATAGACAATGTAAATTTTATATGCTACCAACTCACAGCTCTCCTAATGAAAACATGCCAATCTTTCAAAAACATTTGTTTAACACCCGCTCCTTGCAGAGATCTACAGGGTCAAAGACAAAAATCAGAAAATAAAGGTTCTTACTCCTGAAGGTCAATTCTGCTTGAAAAAAAAAAGAAAAAGAAAATATAGGCTCTACCCTCAAGGCGTTTAAAGTCTTACTGAAAAGACAGAACATACACAGCGGATGAAGAAAACGTAAAACAAGTCCACAAGGGTATGTTGGCACAGGCAAATTGAGGACATGAGCCATTCCTCATAACTGTATTAAATTCCTCTTCAAACCCATATATTCAGACTTTGGGGTGAATCTCTTGATGAATTTCATCTAGATTGTTCTAGACTCCACCGCTTGTCTTATCTCATGATGATGCATGGCAGAAGTCAAGCCCAGTGGCTACTTCTCCTAGTATGCATGCTGTGAGCTCTCCCTGGCCCTCCAGCAAGCAAAGAGGGAGCGGCAGCCACACCACCTGCAGACCGTACCCACTCTTGTCCAGCTTGGCGGCCAGCAGCTCACAGCAGTTTCTAGACAAGCTACCTGTCTGCCTTTAACAGGCTTCTTATTTGACACGCACAACCCAGTGAGGCCAGAAAACTAGGGGACGCAAAGAAGGAAATTATGGGACCTCAGAAAGAATAATACCTCCTCCAAATTGGTGTATCTATCAGAGTCAGTGTAGGTAAAGATTCGTCGGTTCTTCCTGCCACCTGAATTCTCCAGCTTCAGGATCTCTTGACGATACTGACAATCCAAAGGACTCTGACAGGCTGCTTCATTTTGGTATACATCTACTTCAAACTGAGGTCACCACAAGGAAACAGAGATAGACTGAGAATACATCAAACTTTTGTTCCTCTGTGTAATCAAATCAGTTCTATAGAGCTGATGCTATTTGACATGTTTTCATAACCAACTTGAAACTAACAGAGAGCAGGGGATCCAGGAATGTTAGAGCTAAAAGGATCCAGAGTGATGGTCTAATCCAACTCTGCTGTTACAGATGGCATACAGCCCAGAGGTGAGAAGTCCCTTACCCAGGATCATAAAACTGAGTAGTGGCAGTCACTGTATATTGCCTCTATAAACACAACAGTGGAAAGTATGAACTGTTACAAACTTTCTGGAAATCAGCTTGGTAATTGTATCACCAGCCAGGCGGGGTAGACCAGGTAACAGTAGCAGACAAGAGACACTGGCTTACCTGGCTAAAGAGCTTCTCTTGCCACCCAATCACAATCTCCTCCTCTTCATCTTCATCTGGGCGGTGTCCACCTCCAAAGACAACAGAGTGAGTCAAATGCTTGAGCCAAACCAGCATCACTTCTTGCTCTGTGATTGATTATAATCAAAGTCCTTACTCTTACATTTGCCACAAAACCAGCTGGAGTTCAGTAATTTATTAAGCACTCCATCTAGACAAAGGCTAGAGAGGCTGTGGATATACTCCACAACATATGATGCTTAGTTTTAGCAGAAGCCAAGACAAGGACTCGAGAAGTGTTAATCACTTCTAATTTGAATAAAAGGTGTCCTGCCTTCCAGAAAATATTTAATCTAATTCAGTGTCAGGAACTACAATTTAGATATATAGGCTGATAGCCAGCCCTTCCTCAATCCCAACTGTCTGCATTTGCTAGAAAATGCAGACCGTGGCATTTTTATTTTTACTATTCCTGAAGCTATATATACTGAATCATAAACACTGTAACTTAGGAGACCAAGTGTCCAGAGAGGACAGAGAAGGCAAATAAGTGATTTTTTTAAAGAACCAAATCTAATACACTTCTAACTGAGTGTGCCTTTTTCAGAGACACATGCTTCACAACCCACCAGCCCACACTCTTACCCAGAAATATGTATGAATAGAAACAACAAAAACATAAAGACTAGTGACCCCAAAAAAGCACCCTGTCCTCTCTTCCTCGCTTTCAGCTTTCAGGTAAGGAAAACCACAACAACATAGTTTATGTTTATATGCACATTTTTCAAGCAGTCTCCAATCTTTTTTTTTAATTTCAAAATATTAAGGGGGTACAAATGTTTTTGTTACATGGATAGCTTTTGTAATGCTTGAGTCGGGGCTATAAGTGTGCCCATCACCTGATCCAATCTTAAAATTGTTTTTTAAAGTGTTTACATGCAGGTCTTTAGAGTTTGGAGCATATTTTCTCTTAGACAAAAAATGCCACAAATGGTATTTAGGTTGCAAGGCAAATTTACAGCATATCAAAAGCATGGTATTTGTTATTTCACTATATTTGGCCACAATTCTGATCAGTATCTTGATAGCAGGAATCATGTCTTATTCAATTTTCACACACAACATAAAGTAGTAGTTAAGATTGCCTGGGTTCAAATCCTGGCTCCAACATTTATCAGCTAGGAAAGGAACTCAACCTTTATATACCTCCCACTCCTCCTCTGAAAAAGGCGCAGGTTTCTCTTAAAACCGCAGACCTGGGTCTACTCTGTCTTAAGAGTAACTCTACCGCCCCAAGCCTTTTCCCAAAATCCTCAGGGGGCAACATCACCACCATAACACCCACTGGCAGTTGGTTGAGGCCTAAAAGTGGCCAAGTCTATGAGGTCACTCCCGGACTGGGCAGCAGGCTGATAATGATGAAAGTTGCCTGATGTGATTCTTTGCAGGTGGACCCTGTCAAGGAAAGAGAATTCCAAAATACGCGTTACAAGACACATAACCAGAAGATGAACACAGAGCAAGGATGAGGTTTCCGAGGTGTGCTAGGTGCAGACGACAGAGGAGGTGGGTGGGGCGTGGAGTCCTAAGGGGAAGAGTGAGGGTGAGAGGATGTACTGGAGACACAGGGCTAGGGGTGCAAGTAGTGCGAGGAGAAGTCGGGAGACCGGAGAGAAAGTGGTCGGGTTTGTAAGCGGAAGTGGGGGCCTTGGAACAGAAGTTCAGGCTCTAATTATCTGACGGTATAAAAGCATGGGACCCTGGGGCTGGGGCTGGGGCTGGGGCCAGGGCGGTGCAACTACCGGAGGCGCAAGTTGCGCACGGGGTCCAGGGAGCGATACACTGCCTCCCCGGTGTCAGTGCTCCAGGAGGCCTCCGCCATGACAGCTGCGACGCGCCGCGACTGCGCCGGAAAGCGCACCGCCCCCAGTTCCCCAGGCAACGGAGACGCTGGGTTCCGGTAGCGGTGGAGGCGCTGCGCGCGTAACGCGTCGTTCCGGTCGCAGCGCTGTCCCGGCCCAGGGCCCGGGCGCGCTCCAGGGTCCTGCCGGTCATCGCTTACTATGAGTGCGAGCAAAGCTCACGCGCACCCAAGACAGGACTTGATGCGCTGTACAAAACAGAAAACAGGCACAGCCATCAGCCCGCTTCATTTAGATGCAGAAAAGGTGATAAGCACCACAATCAGATGACCTGAGTCCTCGTCTCTACTTTTCCCACCACGCCACATGCCTTCCACAGATCTCATGAAAAGTTTGGCCTGAAAATCTGTGGAAGTGACTGAAAGAATGCACCCATTATGCCTAAAAGAGTCAGTGATGGTCATGGCCCTTGTCCAGATATGAAAATGTATTCTTTGAAGAAAAAAAAGTGTATCAAAAGATTTATTAGTCATTGTGTAGGTGTTCACCCAGCCAGAGAAAGAAAAAACGAGGAGCCAACAGTAAGGAAGGAAAACATGTTATTATTGAACTGGTTCTTCTATGTTTGTGTTAGTTCTGGATCACTGAGCCACTTTAGATACTGCACTGGCCTCCTTGAAAGATTAACAAAGTGACATTCAGAAGTCAAGCTTCATTGGACTATCAAAGGAAGGACACGCCATAACCTTGGGTCTGGCTCCCTGGCACCTTGGGGATGTCAACATTTATCAGCCTTTGACATCTGTTACTCCCCCAACAGAGTAAGCATTGTCCCCTGAACTCAGGAACCTCGTGTCAGTTTGATTATATTGCATTGGAAGCCCAGGGTGCCATAGTTGCTACTCGTGTAACACCAAGGACTCATCATAAACAGCATTGTTTGTTTAGGATCTAATACAGCCTGGCATTTTGTTTGCATTGTCACTAATCTTCATAGAAACCTCTATAGAGTACCATAGAAAGAAGGAATTTTTATTCTTATTTAACAGATGACATTAGTGAAGTCGAGACGTTAAAGGGCTTGCCAAATAAGCAGTAAAAGCACTGGGATTCCAGCCCAGGTTCATCTGTCTTTTGAAGCTTACCACTTTCTGCTGTGCCTCACAGCCTCTCATCTACCAGTTTATTCCATAAGAGCACACAATTTCCAACGTGGGAAATAAATATTTCAACAGATAAAAAGGAGGCAAAGTACTAGCTCCTAAGAAATGGTCTCTCTAACATTTCATTTTAAAGTTGTGGGTGGTCAACGCTGTGCCACATGAACAACAGCTGATAAAGGTGGAGCCTGCATCAAGTTTAGTTTTATAACCAAATCAAAGTTATAATACAGTCAATCTGACATGTGCAAAATAGTTTCTGTACCACATGGCATAGAAATATAAGCTATCTATTTGACACAAAATAAGGCAGGAATGGAGGAATCAAGGAACAAAAAAGACAGAAGATGTAGAAAAAATAGCAAAATGGCCGATGTAAACCTTATGTTATTGGTAATGAATTACATTAAATATGAAGATATTAAGCACATTGATCAAAAGGCAAAGATTGGCAGAATGCATTGGAAAAACATAATCCAATTATATATTGTCTACAACACACAAACTTTAGAATCAAAGGCATAAATAGGCTGGAAGTAAATGGATGGGAAAAGATATATCATGCAAGTAGTAACCAAAAGAGAGCTGAAGTGGCTGTACTAATATCAAACAAAATGGATAATAAGACAAAAATTGTTATAGAGACAAAGGACAATTTATGATGATAAAGAGTCAATCCATAGAAGACATAACAAGTCTTAAATTTGTGAATGAAAGAGGGGACGTTACTACCAAATTTACAGAAATAAAGAAGTACTATAAGGAATTACAATTGTATATCAACACATTAAATAACTTCAATGAAATGGACATATTCCTAGAAAGACAACACTACCAATTCTGATGAAAGAAGAAATTAAAAATCTGACTATACCTGTAACAAGTAAATAGACCTGTTACTATGTGAATTAGTAATTTACTACAACAACAAAAAACAAACAAAAAAAATCAAAAAAAAATTTCCCACAAAGTCCAAGCCTAGATAATTTCACTGGTGAATTCCATAAAATATTTAAAGAATTAATACCAATCCTTCACAAACTCTTCCAAGAAATAGAAGAGGAGCGAACACTTTCCAATTTATTCCATGAGGCCAGTATTACCTAGATAACAAAACCAAACAAAGATACAACAAGAAAAGTATATGCCAATATCCCTTATAAATATACATGCATGCTGGGCACAGTGGCTCATACCTGTAATCCCAGTGACTTGGGAGGCTGAGGCAGGAGGATCACCTGAGGCTGGGAGCTTGAGACCAGAGCAACATAGTGAGACCCCATCCCCTCAAAAATATAAGAAAAATTAACTGGGCATGGTGGAACATGCCTGTAGTTCCAGCTACTTGGAAGGCTGAGTCAGGAGGATCGCTTGAGCCAAGGAGTTCAAGAGTTCCAGGCTGCAGTGAACTATTTTAGTGCCATTGCATTCCAGCCTGGGTGACAGAGTGAGATTTCTCTCTCATATCTCTCTCTCTCTCTCTCTCTTTCTCTCTCTCTCTCTCTCTCTCTCTATATATATATATGCAAAAATCCTCAAGAAAATGCTAGCAAACTGAACCTAGCAATATATAAAATGTCTAATATACCATGATCAAGTAGGATTTATCCCAGGAATGCAAGGTTAGTTCAACATACAAAAATTAAGCAATGTAATCAATGTGATACACTATATTAATAGAATAAAAAAAAATTACATGATCATCCCAATAGATGCAGAAAAAGCATTTGACAAAATCCAACACACTTTGATGAGAAAAATATCCAACAAACTAGGAATAGAAGGAAACTCCTTCAACCTGATAAAGGGCATCAACAACAAAAAACATCCCCAAAGCTAACATTGTAATTAATGAAAGACTAAAATATGTCCCCCTAAAATCAGAAACAACATAAGGATGTCTGTTCTCACAATTCTATTTGACATTGTACTTGAGGATCTAGTCAGGTCAATTAAGCAAGAAAAAGAAATAAAAAGCATACAGATTTTTCAGATGGTATGATATTGTATATAGAAATTACTAAGTCACAAAATAACTGTTAGAACTAATGAATGAGTTCAGCAATTTTGCAGGATATAAGCATAATATAAAAAATCAATTTTATTTCTATATACTAGCAAAGAACAATCTGAAAATAAAAATAAGGAAAAAATGTACTTACAATAGCATCAAAAAGAACAAAATACTTAGAAATAAATTTAATAAAAGAAAGTAAAGACTTATACACTGTAAACTTCAAAGCATCGTTGAAATAAATGAAAGAAGACCTAAATAAATGTAAGATATTCCAAGTTCATGGATCAGAAGACTTAATATTGTTAAGCTTTGTATCATATTATATTATTTTGTATTATACTGTATTGTATAGTTAATACTCCCCCAAATAATCTACAAATCTACAACATAATCCCTACCAAAATCCCAGTTGCCTTTTCTGGAAGAAAATGATAAGCTTATCTTAAAATTCATATGAAACTCAAGTGACTCAGAATAGCCAAAACAATATTGAAAAATAAGAACAAAGGTGGAGGAATTACACTTATTGATCTCAAAACTTACTAGAAAGCTATAGTGATGAAGACAATGTGGTACTGGCATATAGATCAATGGAATAGAATTGAGAGTCCAGAAATAAACTCTTACATTATGGTCAATTGATTTTTAACAAGGATGCCAAAACAATCCAATGGGCAAATAATAGGCTTTTCAACAAATGGAGCTGGTACAACTGGATATCCATATACAAAAGAATGCAGTTAGACTCCCTACCTCACACCACATCCAAAAATTTCAAAGTGACTCAAAGACATAAATTTAAGAGCTAAAGCTATAAAACTTTTAGAAGAAAATGGGCATTAGGCAAAATCTTATTAGATATGACACCAAAAGTACAAACGACTATAGAAAAAAATAGATAAATTGGACTTCATCAAAATTAAAAACTTGTGCTTCAAAGGACACTATCAAAAAAGTGAAAATACAACTCACAAAATGAGAGGAGACGTTTGAAACCATACATCTGATAAGGGACCTGTATCTAGAATATATAGACAAGTAACACAAGCACAAAATGGGCAAAGATCTGAATATACATTTCTCCAGAGAAAATATACAAATGATGAATAAGCACATGAGAAATTGTCAACATCATTAAACATCAAGGAAATGCAAATCAAAACTACAATGAAATACTGCTTCACTTCTGCTAGAATGGCTATAATCGAAAGATAATAACTAGTGTTGGCAAAAATATGGAGAAATTGGAACTCTCACATCCTACTGGTGGGAATGTAAAATAGTATAGCTGCTTTAGAAAACAGTCTTATTTTTCCTCAATAGGTTAAACTTAGAGTTACCACATGACTCAGCAATTCTACTCTTAGGTATTTACCTAAGGGAATTGAAAACATATGTCCACACAAAAACAGCTGACATCATATTATACTTAGTGTTGAAATATTGAATGCTTTCCCTAACATTGAAAATCAGAAAGAATGTTTGCTATCATCACTTCTATTTAACATTATACTAGAAATTTTAGCCAGTGAAATGGGGCAAGAAAACAAAATCAAAAGCATAATTTAAAAGGAAGAAGTAAAATCATCTTTATCTACACATAATATGGTTATGTATGTAAGTAATCCAAAAGAATTCAAAAAAACTAATAAGTTTAATAAGGTAACAGAATACAAGGTATACATATAAAAATCAATTGTATTTCTATATAATAGGAACAAATTTCAATTTGAAATTGAATTTTAAAAATTACAACCACCTATAATAACATAAAAAAACATGAAACAGAAAAATTAACAAAATACGTGCAAGATTTGTACACTTAAAACTTCAAAACATTGGTAAGAGAAAGAAGACCTAGATAAAACAGAGTACTATAACATGTTCATGGATTGAAAGAATCAATATT